TAGGCATGTCACTTGCTTGTCATTTGGTATGCATGCCCCTATAATTAAGATTCTTACATGAGCTTGATTATATTATTAAATGCATATCATTAATAAATTGTATTCTATGAAAATTAAAGAATATAGGACGATAAACATCCTTGTCACTATACTCTTATGAATTTATATATTGAAAACCTAAATTTTGAATTTTAATTTGTCCTGTGAACCGCAGTTGGATTGACTTTTTTTTTTAGAATTTGATTACTAGGTGAGAGTGTCTTTTCTCTAACATTCTTATTGTAGTATCAAACAAATTTTCTCTTTACCTCTTGTCGTGGTGTTGCGTTGGTTCGAACTCCCTCTAAGAGGTCATGGGCGAGCATTGGAAACCTCATTGAAACAACTAGAAACATCCTACTTGATGCCTCCCTACATCTCACATTATGGGTTGATACACTTGTTGCAACATCCTATCTTATAAATAGAATGTCATCTCAAATCACCCAATCCAAATCACCTTAACAACTTCCATACAATCACCCACTTAACTACTCCAATCTTCGGTTTTTCGGCTATCTATGTTATCAATGGTTAAGGAGACAAACACCACATAAATTAGCTCATCGCTCTCACCCATGTGATCAACCATAAAGGATACGAGTGCTCCCAACCCACCTCAGACAAACTCTTCTTCTCTCATCATGTTGTGTTTGACAAAAATCTTTTCCCATATCGATCTATTCAAAACCTCTAATCCTCTCTGTCTCCACCAAATATTGCAACAAACCATCTTCTACTTGTCCCTCCATATGTACACCAAACTATGTCAACCACACCCTCATCTACACCAGGTCATACGTCTTCGCCACACAAACCTTCCCCACAAATACCCCCTCCATACACACTACCATCCACCCTAATCAAACTTACATACAACATGACCATATGATCACTTGTAGCCGCATCGACAACCTCAAACTGCTAAAAAAGCTCAATCTCCTCCATCAACTCAAACATCCCTTTAATCCTAAAACATACAAACGAGTTGCTAAGTAGACTTACTGGCAATTTGCTATGAATGAGGAGTTCTTTGCTCTTCATGCACAGAGTACTTGGGCATTGGTTCCACCTCCATCAAATCAACCTATGCTTAGATGTCGATGGACTTGTTCCACTAAATATAGCTCGGATGGCACATTCGCCCAATGTAAAGTCCTTCTTGTGGCGCAAGGGTGTAATAAAAAATATGGCATGAATTACTTCGAAATATATAGTCATGTGACAAAGATGAAAATACTAAGAGTGTTTTTTACGGTTACTTGTTATTACAAGTGACCAATCCTACAATTTGATGTCTCTAACACATTTCTACATGGTAAGCTTCTTGAAATAGTTTATATCAAAAAACAGACATGCTACATTGATCATCATTTCCCAAATCATGTCGAGACAATTGTTTACAATGATCACTACATTCTTCATCCACGAAGTCTTTCAAATCAGCACGACTGAACCATCTCTCCTCATCTTGCATGACTCTAACCCTCGCATATATATTCTCCTTTATGTCGATGATATTCTCATTATAGTACATGACGTGACAACAATTGAAACATTCACAACTCACCTTAGATCTAAGTTTCAAATCAAACTTTTGGAATCGGTATCTTGGTTTCTTGACATTGATGTTACTAGGCAAGCTGATTATATTTTCTTGGATCAACAAAGCTACCTCACTCAAATAATCCTTCAAGCTCATATGATCAGCTACAAGGCTGTGGCGACGCCTTTACCAAGCAAGCGTGAAAGAGGCTCTCCACCTCCCCTTTGATGGACAATCCCACCGAGTTTCACCAACTCACTGGAGCACTCCAATACCTTACAATTACACGACTTGACATTTCTTTCGCTATTAACTTCTTATGCGAACGCTTGCATTCCCCAATAGCGCACCACTATCAACTTCTTCGATGGATACTTCGCTACCTCCATGGCACCTAAGATTATGAACTTCTCATCAAGCCAAGTGATCTCACACTCCACACATACTCAAATGTCGATTGAGTTGACGATTCATAAAATCGGCGCTCAACTACAGGCTATTGCACTTTTCTCGGTACCACTCCAATCTTATGGGAAGTCAAGAAGTAACATACATGCTCGTTCCTCCACTAAAACTGAGTATCGTGCCTCGACGACAGTGGCGTCCAACACTCTATGGCTACAACGTCTTTTTGCTGAATTTGGCTCTCCACATCCGGATCCCACCAACCTTTCATGTGCTAACCTCTCCATGATGGCAATTACTATGAATTTGGTCTTCCACACTAGCACCAAGCATATCAAAATAGACTATCATTTCATTTGGAACCAAATTCAATTCATATTTCTCCAAATCCACTAAATTAACACCCAACATCAACCAACAAATTTATCTACTAAATCTTTGCTGAAAAGAGGTTCAAATTTATGCAGTCCAAGCTTCAAGTTTGCTCCAAACTTCATCAGGTTGATGGGGGGTAATAAGACAAAGTGGAATAGGTTAATATATAAGAGCCATGAGACATTTTTAGCTTTGCAACTTCTCTCAAGCTTTTCTCCCTCTCTTTGTATCTTCTTCAGACATAAGATGACATGCTAGAGATAACATATTTATATTTCTACACGGGAAAAAGACAAAAAAAAAAAAAAACTAGAAATCTCTAGAGATTTAAATGTAATGATCACTTATGTATATTTTAGAGAAAAATCTCTTATATATCGGGGGAGGGGGGGTGTTGCGAGGTGTCGGTGGTGAATGTAGAAGGCATGCTTCTCCGAGAAGAGTTATTCTAAACCTTTCCATACTTCCTCTCTCCCCTTTTCCATTTAACTTTTCTAATGGTAATAGCTTTGCAACCCACATTTTAGTTTCAAAATGATTTTCACCTTAATTAAATCTATCAGTAATAGGATTTAGCGTTGGAAATTGACCATACTACCTCAACTATTTTTCGCAGTTAATAAAGATTTTTCCTGTAGTGTACATATACATCACACAATTCTTATGTATTCACATATATCATACCTAATATTTCATATTTATACACAGAGCACTCAAATCTTTAATATCAGCCAATAGCAAACTTGAACTGATTTCAAAAGTACATATTTTAATGCATAAATTTAAAACACCAAGTTACTATGTATTTACATTTAAAACTTTGCGTGTAATATATGTAAATACATAAGAATTATGTGCTAGGGAGGTAAATTTCCCACCTCTAAAACATTAAAATCAGAAAAGTAATGTAAATTAATTGAAATAGAGTTGTATGTATACAAACGTTTGTAACACTAAACAAAAAAAGGGGCATTTACATACACAAACCACAATTCTTATATATTTACACATCTCAGACCTAAACTTTCATATTTACACATGACACTTAAATCCTAAAATCACACCAAAAATAACAAATTTAAACCCATTTTAAACTTACAGAAATACACATCTTCATGCATAGATTTAAAACACCAAATTTATTATGTAAATATAAAATCTTAAGAGCAAGATATGGGATACAAAAGAATCTACGCTGTGGTAGAAAATCACATCGGCAAGAGAGACTAACAAGAGATGGAGTAAGGGCGGGCTGATATTTCAGCTGGTTATTCAGTTCACGATACAAATTTTCGACAGTTTATTGGCAGGTTGTTTTACTACAAGAAATTTCAGGCTGTAATTAATCGATTTCGAGTAACATAATTATCAGTTTAAAAAGTCAGTCAGTTTTTCAACCGTTACAATAAATAGATTGAATTTTCCACTAACTTTTCAGGAGTTACAATAAACCGGCTAAACTTGCAGCTGGTTGTTCAGTTCGGCTGCATCGCTGACCGAGTACCCGCTAAAAAAAATAGACAGTATTTCTGGGAGAAAATGTCTTACAATCTCAAACTAAATTTTACTCTGAATGTTCAGAGCCAAACTTATTCAGCTCCTGACTCTTTCTCTCCCGAGTGAATTTTTTATCATGCTGTGACTGCATAAACTTTAGTATTATACGAATTAAGAAAACCATATAGATACAAAAACTATATAGATATTCGAGTTAACTTAGATATTCAAATCATTATTAAACTATTTATATGTGAGCTCATGATAGTGTTGGTCCAAATTGCTGATGGCTGCATCATATATATTCTACTCCAAGGAAGACGAGAGGAAACAAACCCCAGCCTTTCTTCTCTTCCCACTAATATATTATTGCAGTCTCTCATTAATTTCTCTTTTTAAACTCTTACGAATAAGAAGAAGAAGAAGAAGAAGAAGAAGAAGAAGAGGAGGAGGAGGAGGAGGAGGATTGCCGCCATGGGAAGAGCTCCATGCTGCGATAAGGAGAAGGTGAAGAAAGGACAATGGTCACCGGAGGAAGATGCCAAGCTCAAGTCTTACATAGAGCAGAACGGAACTGGTGGAAATTGGATTGCTCTTCCACAGAAAGTTGGTATAGCTATTTCATCCCTAATTCATCAAATAAATTAAATTTTTAATTATTTGTTTGATCTATATCTAGATTTCTATTTAATCTTCTCAATTAATCGATCCATCTTCATCATCATCATCATCACAATTCATATTTTGAAGTCCTGAGGATCGGAGAATGATTCTTAAATAAGCCTGGTACTTTAATTGCACGAAATTGTACTGATCCAGGCCTGAAACGATGCGGCAAGAGTTGCAGGCTTCGATGGCTCAACTATCTTCGCCCAAATCTGAAACATGGCTCCTTCTCAGAGGAGGAGGAGAACATAATTTGCAGCCTCTTCGTCAGAATTGGAAGCAGGTCTGCTTATGAATATACATACATAGTTAAAATCAACCTCAAAATTAAGTTTTGTCAGCAGAATTCACTGAAAAATCTGTTTTTTTTTAATCCCATAGTCACAATACATAGCACTTCAGTTAAAATCAACCTCAAAATTAAGTTTTGTCAGCAGAATTCACTGAAAAATCTGTTTTTTTTTAATCCCATAGTCACAATACATAGCACTTCAGTTAAAATCAACCTCAAAATTAAGTTTTGTCAGCAGAATTCACTGAAAAATATGTTTTTTTTTTAAAATCCCACAACCCATTATATAGAATTTCATTCAAAAAAATCAGTCTTTTATTGAAACAGGTGGTCTTTGATTGCCGCCCA